GATTATATTGTTTTAATCACTCTTGAACGAACCCAATCTCACAAATATATGAATTGTTTTTCCTAATGCAAAATTGATTTTTGTTATTAGGAAAGCCATTCAAAACAACCAAATAAAAATAAAGATGACAATAAGTGAACATGGCGGCATATATCATCCCTGGAATTATTCTGAGTAGGCAAGCGTTGATTCTGTGTCATAGTTGTTCTATCACCGCAAAAACATGGCGACAACTGTCATTCGTGTTGCCGGTTGAATTGCACTGGGTTCTTTCAGTGTATATGTTTTGTGGTCTGTGGTGTATGTTTTGCGAATGCTGATGTCGACACGTTTACACCGTGTATTGTGTAGTGAGTGACATACACTTTAAAGGCAAGTAAAATCAACAATATATAAATACTGTTCTTGTTGCACGTTCAGAAGACATTCAAAATTTACGACCTAAATTAATCATATCATTTTACTATTTTGAGGTCAAATTGGAGTGGCCGCTGACACGAAGACACGATCGTCATACTAGTTAAAATGGCGTACTTAGTCGTCCAATCTATCTTTTTCTCTTCAAATTTTATTTTTTTCTCTTGGAATTAAACAAAGTTTTAACAAATAATGTGGATTATGGCCAGTAATATTGTGTCCGACTACTGGAATGAACGAATGATCATAGCATCCCAATAACCGACCACTTCCATTTTTTCGTCATTATTTCAGCAGTTTGTCAAATAAAGAGGGGTGGCAGCCTTTTTTACAAAAATTAAATTATTCGCTCATGGTCCTCCGCAAGATGAATAACTATCTATTAGATGAGAAGTCACAAGTAGTTGAAATCTCTGTAAGATGTAAACCTAATTTTGCTATGTTACTTGTGTTTCAAATTAGAACCTCGCCTTTGGGATCTCGGAAACGGTAAAACGAATGTCACACGATCAGTATTTATTGTGGTCCGAACGATCAGTGCATTTCTGCATAATATACATCAATAATTACTGACGTCCAGGCTACACAGTCAATATATATCACATCTCACGTTAAATATATTGACGGGTCACAGTAAGTTCTGACGATTATACAAAAATGTTTCCTGAGTAAGCCTTGAAATTATGGAGTCATTTATTGAATAACTGTAATGCGACTGTCACCAACACAAACTTCGAATCGGGCCTCATCACTCCATTGCACACCATTGTTGAGGTGTCCATTGTCTATGTTCTTTAGCCCATCTAAGCCGTTTTTTCTTTTGCAGTGGAGTTAATAGTGGCTTTTCTTTGGCCTATAAACAAGTTGTGCAACTTTAGGGTTTTTACTTCACTTTTTTTATAAGAAAACTTACCTTGCATGTGCTAAATCCCAGTTTGTGGGCCTCTCTATGAGTTGTGGACCTCGAAATTCTCCTTCCAACAGCGTCACTCCACAGAGCACTTAATTGTAAATAAATGGCACTCCTGACTTTCTCGATTCTTCTTAATGCTCTTCGGTCGGCATTTGTGATATTACTTTTTTTCACATATTGTGGCTTAATATTAACTGAACCAGTTACGTTATATCTCTTAACAATATTTCTCACACAACAAAGTTGCAATTTCTGAGTTTGATTTCCCAGAATTAAAAAAATTAATTATCAGTAACCGAATTTTCTCACTAATAACCTTTCGTCTACCCATTTTGAAAACCTTAATAACCCAAAACTATTTTAAACATATTCTGACAGCTGTGATTAATAAAAACAATTGTCATGGCTTTTATTTTTCACAGCCACCTATGCGTTATAGACTTATTTTGCTTTGAAATGAAAATAGGTTGATATGCTGTAATTGCAACATGTGTTATTTTTATGCTGCAAATTTGATTAGGGAGTGATAAAGTTCGTGTTTTCTATATATTATCGAAATATTCATTGTTAATATTTTGTTAATATTTTGCTACATTTTCATTTTTTGTGTTTGATAAGAAAAAACTAAGATTTCAATAGTTGGGCCAACTGAAGTGGTTAGGGGCTCGTAGTTGGTTTAAGCTCATCGAATGAGGAAGGGTATAATGTAACTCATTTATATTAATTAATGGTAATGATATTGAAAATAGTATAATTTAAAAAACTCAGAGCTCACATGTCAGATCGAAATTGTAATCATGCCACCATGTAGAAGAGAGAAAGTGGCAATGTTATTGTGTGATTTGGTTGAAATTTGTAGACAATGTGGATGTTTGAAAAGTTTTGTTTTGAAGTAAAGCCAGTAAAAATAAAGAAGACTTAGAGTAAAGTTGGAAATATGTACTTTGAAATGCTTAGCCTTCAATTAAATGAACCTGATGATCTTGTGATAAATTCAAACAAACTGAAAAATAAGTACAGTCCTAGTGCTGATGAAATACCAACAAACATTGTGAAGCTAATTGTAAATGAAATTGAAGATACTTTGTTACATTATTAATAATTCTCTAAAATTTTGATTTTTTTCTGAACATTTGAAAATGTCAGAAATAAAACCGTTACTAAAACAGGGTGGTCTATTCATCATTATACGCCCCTTAGTATTCTAAATTTGCTTCTCAAAACAATTCTGTCTGTATATAAATAAGTGTTTTTATGGCTAAAAATAAATTGTTTAGCATCAGTCAGCAGGGCTATATTCTAGGAAGATCTTCAATTACAGCTATATATATATTGCAAAATTTAACAAATCAGGGAACATGGTATGATTATCTAGACCCCAAATAAGTTTTAATATAATCACATAGCTCTTTTTCATATCTTCATCCATAAAAATACACTAAGTATCAGCTAAAATGTATATATATCGAGCAGTTTCTAAGTTTTAATATAATTTTTATATCTTGCTATGAAAACAAATTGGGTTCACATATTATATAGGCATATTGTATAGAATAATTAGCTTTGTTACGATAAATAATAATTATAACCAAAATAGTAGCAGTCATATAAGAACAAAGTTTAGAATATAAGAGAAACCTAGGCTATCTAAAAACAAAAATAAACGTTATTAATCCTCTTACCACCTATTAAACTGTAAACCAATAATTCTGTATGTTGCAGTATTACGTATTACAGGAGGGAAAATTAAGTTACAAAACAGTTGTCGTACATTATTTAGAAGACCCAATTTACAAGAAATAAACAGCTGGTGGCCGACAGAGTTGACAATAAAAAAATGGCATCAAGCAGGTTGAGTCAGTGCAGAGTATTCAGTTTATATAGGATTATCTTCCTCAAGTTAAACGTCAGAACGAAAATTAAGCGATTTTTGTTTGATTTTTCGTTTTTTTTTTTTTCGTTAAATTCATTGCCACTGGACCGATTTTCAAAAAGTACAAATCTTTTTCGTCCTTGCTATAGTAGCAACCTTGTGTGAAGTTATAAACGAGCCAAGGAATAGAGGACAGGCCAAACGAAATGAATGAAATGATTTTTCGTGATGTCCATATCGTATAACATCCAGAAAACATGAGATCTAATTTTCGAAATGTTTCGCGATTACGATACTTTGATAGCTGTTAAGAAATTCTGGGGAAAAAGTGTTTGTTTAAAATGTTTGATTCAACCTAATCAAGAAAACAAGACAATTTATATTGTGAGGCAGCAAACGTAATATTAAATAAAAAAATTCTGGAAAAAAGTGTGGGCAGTACAGGGGGATAAAGTCCTCCTGTACAAGTATTTTGCAAATCTGTTCCGGGAATTGAAAATGTCGAATAGATCGTTAAACATCTGTATAAAAATAGACGTTGTCTTCCCCCAAGTATAACAGCGCATCTGCTACACTCTTACTCAGCGCTTGAGTCGCAATTTTCACCTTCATTTTCTCCCTTGCCCACTGGAGGTTTCTGGGCCTTATTTTTGTAGCTAAGTGTAATGAGAACTTTGTATATCAACCAGTTTCACTAAAAAATTCCAATCTGGTTGCCAGACATATCTGTCAAATAGTTCTGAGAACCAAAAGTATTTCGGACTAATTTTATCATGTAACAAGGATCTAAAAATATATAAACTTTGTTGCTAGTTATAGGGTGATTGAAGTATATTTTCAGCTGTTTGGGATCACTAAAATTGGCTCCTAGACGTGATGCCATGGTCAAATTAACAGGGGCGCCGTCAAATGTTAGTGAAGTAACAGTTACTCCTGACTGGTTAACAAATGTAAGACAGTGTTTAACTACGTCGGCTTTCTCAGCACCACTAAGGCCATCCAAGAAAAAGTATCCTACTGGTATTTTCCACTACCCATTAATGCATGCTAGCATGAATACTAGTACTTCTTTTGCCTCAACAGATCCACAAAACTTGGTACCTGTCCATTCTACTTGTTTCCTAATTGACATTTCATCTAAAACTAAATTGCAAAAAAATTCTTTTCCCTGGGCAGCTGCTTCTTCCTTTTTCAATATTAATGCATTCAATGTCTCTTTTGTGAATCCTGGTGAACCATCTATTGACTGATACCATTTGCTTATAGTATTGTTGTGAGGAAGTGACTTATTGAAAGTATTTCTCACAAAATTATAATCTCTTGGTGAATAGAAAGCTAGAGTTAAAGCGAATGATCTTATAGCTAGACTGTATTTTTGAGATGCAGGACCCATCAACATTCGCTCCAAAATTTCAGCAGCAGACTCTGGTAATGATTCCTGAAATATGAATAATTACGCTTAGTGGTTGGAGTCCTTTGTGGACGTATCTTAGTTACCTTTAACATATTTTCTGACGATTCTGATGCATGTTTGGTTCTCAGCAGTTTCAACAGGCTGCTTAATGTTTTAATTCTTCTCCTTAAAGTTGTTACTGTCGTCTGGAGGCCACGTTTTTTTTCCTCTTGGATTCTAAGGCAGATTTCAGAACTCTGAAATTTCTTTTTGCCTTTTTTGGGATGGAAAAATCCTCACTAGATATATCACCCACATAGCGAACTTTCCTGAAATGTTCAGATTTAAGAAAAATCACCTAAAACTGCTTTAAAACATTTTAAATAAATTAAGAATAAACTCCTTAATCATAACATAATAGCTACGTCTTCGTCCCAAGGTCAATTTAATATTATTTACTCAATAAGTTTTTTTAAACTTCTCTCGCCTCTTATGTTACTTTTGTTCTTATCAAGCATATGCTCTTGTACCCCAGCAGTTTTAGCAGGACTATCACTTTCTGATGCTGATAATGTTGAGGAAGTATGGACATATTGCCTACAAAGAAGAATTAATTCCTTTGTAGCATTATAAAAGCACAAACGTTTAATAAGACTTACTCTTCATTTGATGGGCCCGGGCAAGTTATACATCTCTTCATCCATGAAAAACCTGAAAACAACAAATGAATAAGTGCTATGAATAGTATACTGCTAATCAGGACTTATCAAACATTTAGTAAGGGTTATATTAAGGCATATATCAAACTGAATGAGTTTCAACTTCATCATCTTTTTTATGGTACAGCTTGATATAAGCTCTACTTAAATCATTACAAAACCCCAGATAATTTCCTGAATACTTTCTTGTTGTACTTAAACCTACAATGGTGGTGTTTTTCCATCTACGATATCAATTCAGCAGATATAAAATGCTACCATATGGATATAGGACTTCAGAAATGTTCAATTTCATAGAGATTTTAATATACTACAAACTAACATGATAGAGAATATAAATTAAACTTACCTTTTTCTAGCAGGAGTCCCCTCACAAGTGATTGAAACGGCAGATATAGTACTACAATCTGAGTATTCTTGCTTCGCTGGACTTACAGATGATTCTGAACTATAATAAAGCATACCTATATATATATATATATATATATATATATATATATATATATATATATATCTGTACATCAGAGGTAAAGTGTACTATGTCACAAAAGGTAGATTTTACAGGAGAGCTTGGTAAAGGATATTTCTTCAAATATTCTGCTCTTGTTCATTTGCACATTTACAGATCAACCTCAAATTTTTTTTTCTACGAACGAAAAGGTGGTGCTTCACCTAAGAGCATGAACTTTTTGTTTTAATACCAGTAATTTTTTGTTTAACAGGACTTGGTACCTTTTACATCTGAATCTATTTTCTATTGGTGGACATGGTATGCTAGTTTCTTGAATTTAGATGGCAGTATTTTATACCTCTGAAAACAGTATTCCTTCCTGCACTTAGCTCATTAATTAATTTATTAAAATAACACATGGAATGTGTAACCCAAATCATTCTTTATTATCATAATGTATAAAGTAAATGCAATACGACGTGAACATTGGAAACTAACAAACTATTCATTTTGATACTGTATAGAGTTAAATGAGGGCCTTTATGAATTGATAACTCTATCCGTCAATGACATTGTTCGCAGTTTGAGGAATATTTTGATAAAAGTTGTGGAACATTTTTGGTACCCATTGCATTAGCTTTTGGAGGTCTTCGTACTTTTTATCTGATATGGGCTTAGGTCCAACGCTGATCAAAGGAATTTCTTCAGGAAAGATGACCGATCTTCGTGAAATACGATTCAAATCCAAAACCTCGAAATCTCCATTGAATGTGTCCTTACAAAACATCTTACCGGGATGGTCAGCATGAATCTGAATGTGAACTAACTGGGATATTTTGAAATCGTTTCCACTTTCAAATTTTTTTCTATGCAGAAACGTTGAACTGGATCCCTCTTATCAGTGACAAGATATTTTTGAAATCGGTAGTCTCCATGTTAATCAAATGGATTACTAGTACTAGAAATTCGCACCAGCTGTTGCGAATCGCATGGAGTCATGATTTGGAATTTAGTCATTCTTTTTCTTGCTCTCTCTATTAATGAATGATCACTATCTACCTTTAGGTGAGTATGCCCCCTTAGAAGATATTTGTGATTTATTACTTTTAATGTTGGTATCTGCCTTAAAATTGTAAAGTAAGCTAAAACTGAGTTAATTTTGCGATTTTGTGATGGACAGTTATCTGACCATATAGTGAACTCTTCAACGTCCTTGCCAACATTGACAAGAGCCCATTTGAGTAAGCAAGATGCCATTTCATTTCCCCCTAAACCTGCAACACTCTCATCCCACATACAACAAGTTGTGTGACTTTTGGAGAATCTTTAATTGTGTAAATGTCCACAATTTTAAAGAATAGAAGCTTTGAGCATTCTTTAAGGCTGGTGTTGGTAAGCATTTTTCTAGATCAACTGTCAACACCTTATGTTTTTTGTTTACCTTCGAGTTTGATTTATCTTGTCTTTTGAGGGCATACCTGTCACTGGATTCAGTCAGATGTTGATCATACTCTCTTTGTACGACCATCCGTTCTTCAGTCGACTGCTTCAGTTGAACAAAAGATATCTGTCACACTGGTCACACGTGTCGTTATCGGGAACTTTAAATGAATAGTTGAATTCATTGTTAAATATCTCGGTGTATAGCCACAGCTTTGGAATATCAATTTCAAGAATATTTTTATCCAACATTTCTTGTTTATAAAGCTCGTACATTTTTTATATGCATAAGCTATTTTCGAGATATTTTTTGGATGAGCGCTCTCTAGTGTAATGAGACTACTGTTGGAAACTTCAAAATGTGGTCTCTTATGGTATCCTTTACCTCAGCCGATATTTTATTTGGGGGAACCTTTTTACCTCGATTGTCGGATTAAACCATACCACCTATGACTTTTTTACATAGAGCAGTAGACACAAATGTTTGCGAAATTCCTAAAGTGTTCAAAAATAACGATTTACAGACCTCAACTTGAATTTCATCAATAGTGAAGTTGAATTTCCTATTGGAAGTTTTCTTATTATTTGCCCTTTCCCCAGTTCTTTCACGCCTCCTTTTGATTGGAACTAATTGTACACATGAAGCAACAAATTTTCGTTTAACGTTGATGGTTTTGGAAGGTGACCAAAACTGTTTAAAGATACCCTCGTGCTCGATCTGGTGAACTTTTTTAGAGCATTGGAACCTGCACTTATCTTTACAAGATGGGCCCATAGATTTGACATTAACTACAGTATTGCGCTTAGAAATATACGGTTCACCAGAAAGGGATTTACGTTTCCTCACATTACATTTCCATTTAGCTATATTCCTCTGACGCTTCTTTGTCTTTGCCGGTTCTGGCACGTTTTCCTCATTAGCTGAACCTAAATGTCTCTCAGAGCTGTCGGTGCTAGTAGTACTATCTGAATTTACAAAATCCGGATCTTGTATGCTGTCATCCGAATTCTCAAAAGCCAGACCTTTTTCACCTGCCATGTTATCGACGGATGCGTTTTGCCTCCTTTTAGCTAAACAAAAAAACGGTGAATAAATACTAAAAGATATTGGGAAGAAATTGTTCATCTTTGTCACTATTTGATGTATCGCACCGAAGCTCCGGAGCAGCTATCACTTTTGTAGAATCACTCAATGCTTCTACTAAACTTTGAAGATTAGGAATGTCTCTTCCCATAGCCACTAAATGATCAGCTTCTCGTTTAACAACAGCACCCACCCCATCAGGTGCACCTTCACCATGGCCACTTTCACTATAATGCCAATTCAGATGGTTTACAGCTAAGTATCTTGCTAGAAAGTGTTTCATCAAAAAAAAAATATTTTTGTACTGGGTAGATGGACCATCTGATAAGAAATGCACAGTTTTTATGGTTGTAGTAATTTTTTGAATTTCTGTGACAGCCAACTGTAAGTGAGCACAGATTGATTGAGGGTCATGTTGTCAGCTGACTGACAGGGTACAAATAGAAAGCGGCACAATATTACATGCTACGGGATCCTTATAGTATATAACTACAGTATGTAGAATTATCTGTGCTTTGGAACCTCCAAAATGTTGCCGTTTTGAAAGCACATTGACCGATTTGCTCACTTTAGTTATACTATGAACACAAATTTTCATAACTTTTTTCGATCGATAGAGTTATACGTGGATATTTTTGTTGTTATAAGTAGAAGGGTACAGGTGGAAAAGATGAATGTCACAAGAAGTAAGTTTTAAGAAAAGTGACTCCTAGACTCATTGTACAGGGTGGGTCAAAGATCTGATAGAGTACCTTAGATTCCTTATAATAAGAAATTGAGAAAAAACTAAATTATAAATAAAAATATATTTTCTGATATACAAGGTAGCCCAAAGTGAAATCAGACCAAACATTTTTCAATGGAAAATCCTTTTTATATGTATATATTTTTTATATGCTGGCTTCCATGTCCAAATTCAATTTTGTTTTGAGATATTGAGGCCAGAAATGAACCTTTCGTTATATCTAAGGGTTCATTAACCATCAAAATGCCTATCTTAGGTTTTACAATCTGTCCTAATATGAGAACTACCTCAAAAGAAAATTTATTACACAGGGCCTAGAACATAAGAACAAGTTGATTTTCAGTCGCTCAAACACGAAATTATTTCTAAGTATTTTTTTAATTGGGACAGGACAAAACAGTGAACCAGAAAAATCTTTATACAATAGAGTATAGAACAAACTAAACAAAATTAATGGTAACGCGATGCTCAGGTCACATATTGTAAAGAAACAAATTTATCAGTAGTTATTAACTTTCCAATGCTCAGCTCAGCATACAGGGTGTTTCAAATTCGACCCTTACCATTGGGTCTCGGAAACTGTAAGGATACAAAGTCGCACTGGGGGCAAATTTACTTATTTAGGTAATTAACAAAATTCCGGCATTTTGTTGATTATCTAAATACGTAACTGCCCTCATTTGAGCGATCTTGTATCTGAATAGTTTCCGACCTAACAAAGATACAAGATATTTTGTCTGTTTTTTTAATTTATTTTTATTTTTCAACATAGTCTCCTTGTACCTCTACACACTTCTCCCAGCGAGCTCCCATCTCTGTAGCCCGTCCAAATAGTTCTCGGCGTTTTTCTCTGCAAAATAATTGTTCACGAAGGTGATTGCCTCTTCATTCGACGAAAATCTGTGTCCTCCAAACGCAATTTTTAGATGAGGGAACAAAAAGAAGTCTCTTGGGGCTAGATCTGGTGAGTAAGGCGGATGGTCAGGCAGTTCAAACTGTAATTCGTGGATTTTCGCCATGGCAACCGCTGAGGTGTGATACGGTGCATTGTCTCGGTGAAACAGGATTTTCTTTTTCTGCAAATGTGGCCGTTTTTCCGCAAGCTCTTCCTTCAGCTTGTCAAGTAATGATGCGTAGTATGCTCCTGTAAAGGTTTTTTCTTTTTGAAGATAATCGATTAAAATAACTCCATGACAATCCCAAAAAACAGTCGTCATCAAGTTCCCAGCCGAAAAAATAGTTTTTGCAAGTCCATTGTTTGGGCTGCATTTTAGTTTCGAGGGTATAATGGTGCATCCAAGTTTCATCTACAGTAATTAATCGTCGCCAAAACGTGGATTTATTGCGCCTAAACTGCGCAGGCAGAGCGTTGGAAATGTTCATTCGAACACGTTTTTGTACTGCGGACAGCTTTCTCATGCCTAAATGTTGATTTAATATGTGACAAACACGTTCTTTTGACATTTTCATAATCTCTGCTATCTCCTCACTTTAACCCATTTGATCCCACGATTTTTTTTTCTCGAAAAAACAGTTTTTTTTTATATTTCCTGCTTGATTTTGTTTTAGAATGCTAATATAAATTACTTTTTGACAAAAAAATTCGTATTTTTAAAAAAATGAGTTGTACTCATGCGAGTACAGTGGGCTAATTAGGTATAAACTACGTGAAAATGAAAATGTTTTATTTATCACTGCTAGTAACAAATTATGAAAACTTATGCTATAACTAACAACTATGGAATTGTATAAAACAATCACGTTCCAAACACAGGGTGACCTAACATTTTATGCACGTCCAACGTACTCTTTGGTGGCATACTCGGCATCGGAGTTGTTTGTGTATTTTTTGGGGGTGGCCGCCTTCATTTCTAATTAGACTGATAGGTGCGTTTCTTAGAGTAAGTAGTTTTCGAGAAACATCTTAGGTGACGCACTATTTCTCGTTCAAATCCCAGAAGATCCAGTTCTTTATTATCGCATGACTTGTATAGCCTCCAAGAGTTGACGAGTGCGGCGTTTAGCATGTGAGTGAAAAGGGGCCACCACCATTTCTTTCCTTGTATACTGACTCTATAGTTATTGACGGATTGGTCAAAAAGATCAACACCGCCCATGGACGTATTGTACGTGGAGAAAAGTCTCGGTTGAGGTACATCGATTTTTCCTTTGGCAGCAGCACACCAGCCTTTTACCTTGGAAAGTGGCTCAATAGTATCATAATTTGCTACCATGGTGACAACGTTATTGTCTTTCCATTTTACAAAAACCATCAAGCATGTTTTCTCAAAACGATATAATATCCGCGATTTATCTTTCTCATTGCATTGGAGGGTGCCAAGGGACATTTTCTTATACGGTTTTCTCTTGCTGTGCCTGTGGCCCGAAAGCCTTTTTCTTTCAAGGTTTGCATCAAATTATAGCTCGTAAAATAGTTGTCAAAAAATACTTCGTGGTCTGTGGGCACATCAACGACATCCAGCATGTTCAGAACAACCCTTGAGCCTAACGGTAAAGCTGAGTCTTTCTGGTTATCTACTGCTGCCCCGCAATATCTATCAAAATTGTAGCAGTAACCAGTTGAGCTGCAGAGCATAAAGTCTTTGAACCCGAATCTAACTGGCTTTCCCCTAATAAACTGTTTCGAAGAGTGATGCCCAAAATACTTCACCATGGCTTCATCAATTTACAAGTCTTTGTGGAATACTCCAAACTTTTTGTTTAGTTTGTTCATTAGCGGTCTAACTTTGTACATTTTATCGTTTTTATTGATTTGTGAATTATCTGCCAGATGCAAGTACGTTTTGATTTCTTGAAAACGGTTCATTGAAATTGAATAAGCCACTGGGGGAACAAAAAAATCCTCATCTAGACACCTATAGTTGCGCTCTCGCGGCTGTCTATGATATCCACTCATAATTAAAATAGCAAGGAATACCCTCATTTCTTCCGGAGTCACATGAAATAGATTATTGTTATTTTGAGAGGCATGCAGATTTGTCTGCTCCACAATAAACTCGATAACTTCAGTGTCGAAATTTTTTTCAAAAATTTCAACAGGCGTTTTATGTCTGATTTGGTCTTTCATGGCATCCAGGCGATCCATGTAACCTGTTGTAGACACCATATTGATATCTAACATATCTTCTGTCCAGGCAGGTTCTTCAGTTCTATTTTGATCGCTTAGTAATTTTTTTCTTAGTGTAGCTAGTGGAAGGTTGTCTTCTTCATCGCTGTCTGATTTATCACTTGTCTAATGAAGCTCTATTTCCCCTGCAACATCGTTGGGAAGATTTTGCGGCTGGAGATCATCCTCATCAATATCTTCATTATCTGTTTGGTAATCAACATCTGGAGGAATGACCACCACCGATATATTTTGGTAACTGGAACTTGCTACATCATCTGCAGCTAAGTCAAGCGTTCTATAACGTTTTCCATAAAAGCTACCTAAAAGCATAGAAAAAAGCAAATAAACATGTTTGACCTTATATAAGCCCGCTGTACTCAAATGAGTACAGATCTATATTCTAAGAACTCGGTAACCATAATCAAACAGAGCTGCTACCATGTAAATAAATGGAACTAGTACTTACCTGTCTAACAAAAAGCGGCAACAAAACACGTAAATAATCTAAAATACGGCAAAAAGTTGAGCAGCCAAATTGTTGATGAACACGAACTGACCGGTAAATTTTAGAATATTAACTGAAACTCTACGTCGGTAATTGCAGTTTTTGGACGTCCCGAACGTTCATAGTCTTCCAAGCCCTTACGGCCACGTTTAAATTCAGCTGCCCAAATTTTCACTGTGGTAAATGATGGGGCAGTGTCCCAGTACACGGAATCGCGTAGGCGTATTGCCTTTTAAAAACAACTTATTTAACGACAGCTCGATACTCGATTTAGTCCATTTTCACAAAAACAATCACATCGAATCAATCAGACTGCGCGTCCAAAATACCTTAAACTTTGGTGATTAACTGTCAGCAGATGAATAACGAAATTCACTATCTTTTATTTACAAGTGCTGTCATCTTCACGTTGGGTTGGGAAACTATTCAGACTACCCTCGTACAGTCTCTGAGATCGTAATGGTGTGAGGGTCGAATTTGAAACACCCTGTTTATGATTTTTTTGTTATAGGTCATACTGAGGCGAATTAGATATAATAAATGTTTTTTACGTCCCATGCTTATTGTAATCGCGAAAGATTTTGAAAACGAGATATTATGTTTTTTGGATGTTGTATGACATGTACATCACGAAAAACCATGTCTCTCATTTCCGTCGGTTTGTCTGTCTGTCTGTCTGTCGGTCTGCCCGCTAATCTTACAACTTGAGAAGTACCGCGCGGATTTCGATGACGTTTTTACGCAATGTTACTACTATGCCAAGAACGCAAAAACTTTGTAGTTTTTGAAAATTGGTCCAGTGACGGCGGAGAAAAAGGGCAGGAAGCAAAAAGAATAAAAGTCGCACAAGCTTCGTTTTTTTGTCGTTTCCGAGGCTCTTGGTCATGTACGAAAAAAAAATGTGTAAGAGTTAAAAATTGTGGATTGGGGTTTGTAGGGGACAGCAGGCTGTAAATCTTACGTCTATAATACCAGTCAAAGACGTTCTATCGTCATGAAGCTTCTGGACTTGGTACAACAGGAAAAGTAAATCCGATGTAACTTTTAGGCGGCATTGCGTGTGTGGAGGCCACTGCCGACTGTAGCAAGCGTAATAAATAGGAAAATAACTGGAACTCGATGTTGACACGGACACACCGCTACACGGGAATATTTACCATACATATGTCTAAGATGCTTTTGTAAATGATGACGTAATTGTTTTTATATCTACAGATATATTTTTCTGAAATTTATGATCCTTAAATGTTCCCGCCCATTTCGCCTAACTTTTAATTTGTGTTACTCGGCATATGATGGTTCTCTGAATATTTCAAGTAGATTAACGCAGTACTTATTACGCATTGATATACTACAGACATGGAGTGACAAACCGACATAAATGATAAACACGGAACTTGCGTGATTCACGTTTGAATATTATCGCGAGTTCAATACATGCAACGTTTAGGCTTAGGTGGTTGTAGATTTTTGAAATTGACTCAGTGGCGGTGGAACTACGGACAAAAAAAATGAACATCGCTTGAACACAGCGTTACAAGGTTTCAGAGATTTCCAGCTCATTTTCACACATTGTTTGGAAGGGTTGAATATTGTAAGTTGCAAGGTGTATGCGGTAAATGATTAAAAATTGTATGATGTTTGGTTTCAGTGAAAGATCTATTATTAAGGAGCTGCTGATCCCGGTAATATTATGCACCTGTTAGACATAACGAGTCACACATATTTTCCCTACATCTGCCATGGAAACAGAAATATATTTATATAGTTTGATTTGGAGAGGTCGAAGATTCATCGCACCTAAGTGAACCTAGTCACGGTTAAATTCCGCATTTTGAAACGACTTGACTAATCCTTTGCCATTTATTTCTCTACAAATCGATGTTTCCCTTCATCTCAGTGATGAGAATAATCAACGTCAACATAAGGCGAAAAAAAACTTAAGTGGATCTTAAGGGATCTTGAGAATTGGAGTGCAAAGTTAATATTCTACTCCGGTATGAATATATGAGCCCTATCCCAGTGATGTTGGTCTAGTATGTATTAGCGTAAAAGTATTAAAATCTAAAATGTATTTCATACCTACGATATTTTTATGTAATATTAGCCTAAAATTGTAACAATAAAAAAATATCTTACTAAAAAGACTGCCGATTAATAAAAATCAACGAAATCACATAGCAGCAAATCACCACTGTGCACATCGCCTTTTCGACTGATTTGCGGGATTCGATCGGAGCTTTTTCTTCATGGTATGCCACATCTTGTTGAAAGATACTTTCAGTATTGTTTAAACACATTTGTTCAGGGTGTTAAGTTACTTTGAACCACATGAATGTACTTATCAGCATGCATAATAATACCTTTCACAAAATGAAGTTTCCTACTCCACTTTCTGACATGGATCCCCAAATCAGAATAACAGAAGGCCAGAACTCCAACGCACACTTAAAATCTGGCTTCTTCACTCCAAATAATGGACTTCCATTGGTTCGCAGACCATAATCTGTGTTCTTTGGCCCGCGCTAGTCTGTTTTTCTTCTAAATTTTTGTCACTAAGGGCTCTCTCGATTTGGAAAGCATTTTGGCCTTTTAAACGCAAGTGAATGATCACTTTTCTTATTTCATTAGAAAGATCGTTACCACGAGCCATTTTTAATTCTTAACAACCTAACAACACCAATGCATTGAAAGTTGATTTAAACGTCAAAAATCAGCTTCTCAGCAATGTAAAATGTTATCATTTGTTCTATAAAGCCTACTTTTATTTTTTCGAAACGAATTGTATAATTTATCGCTTTATTATTTATCCAGGTGTTATTCTTCTTTTTTTATATATACCGATTCACTTTTACAGTCGTCAATTAGATTAATTAATTCTTAAAAAGTTGTTACATTTATGCTTAAAATTTTTTGCCTAAATAAATTCACAAATTTTTGATAATCTACAGATTTGACCTAATAATCAAGTTTTGGTTTATAAAATTGCACAGAAGTTTCAATATGCAATATAAGTTTGTGATCCGAAATTCCATTTTCTTTAACATTAACTCTACAACTTAAATTACTACTATAATAGCTATGAACTTAATTTGTATCCATCATGTATATTGCTATACACACATAATTTTGCAAAGACGCTTTAAAGATAGCCTTGTAGGTTTTGTTATCTTTCCATAAACATTCAAAGAAACTAAAAAATATTTGAAATAAAATTTTAGAAGCCCTCAAATAAATTCACAAATATCATGTTGGTTCGTTGGGCCAACTTCACTGAGACAGGGCTCGTATATTTTTTCAATTTTAAAATTATATTCTGCCCTTCTCGGTCAGGTTCCATTTTCGACCCCATGTTTATCAAAAAATTTCGTATAATTTCTTGATCCGTTTTAAGGCCCAGAAATAATTCCACTTTTTAATGTATAAATCATTTCTCTTTTGTTATAGGTCTTCGGATACCATCAGGATGCTTGAAGCAGAGCAGTTGGTGAGCAGTTTGTTGGTAGGTGAAAAAGTAAGCAGGGTCGGCGTGAGGTAGGTGCGAACTGCGCCGCAAACTGAGTAAAATAGTGGCAAAATATAGAAGAAAATGAAAGATGAGCATTTTCTGCTGTTCCAAGAATACCTTAGATGCACATTACAGACCACAGCAAAAGTTTTTACCAAGCAGCAAACATCCTTGCGTCGGCCCTTGAAGGTAGGACAGTGGCACACCATTATTTTATCATTATATCAAACTGTAACAAAAATATATACAGAACGAAAAAATAATGTATAGACTTTAGTATAAAAAGTAAAATATATGGAACATTCATTGGCTAAAAATAATGAGTTTCAATGTCTAAATTATTTCTTTTCAGCTCTAGCTTATCTTTCCATTCCTAACCGAAACCGACTACAACACCAAGGCCGTACGGAATTGTGAAATTCTAAGTTAACAAATGGTCCGAGAGACATAAACATCTCTGTGTAGGTTCTCCTAGATTTTATATAAACCTTGCCTCCAGTAATCAGGTGAAACAATGGGGGCGGCTATTTTGATGGCTTAGAACTTTTGGGATTACCTTTAGAGGAATGACCTCTTCTTGGCTTTCAAACAAACAATAACGGTTCCTCGTTCAAAGGAGAATTTAACATTTACATTTCGCAGTAGACTGACATGTTTTCAACATTTTTTGAGATTTTCGACGTTTTCTAAAGTCCTCAAAATTACATTTTCAAAATTAATTTTTCAAATTTTTCAGTATTTTGTAAATTTTAAAATTCTCAAAATTTTGGATTTTTTAAAATTCTTGTAGTCTGGAATATTTTGAAAATGTCGAAAATCGTGCTAAATTCGAACATTAATTTTTCAGATTTCAAGAACGTGATGGTCCTTTTACAGCCTAATGTGAAATGCAGATGTTGAATCCTCAATTAAATATTCCTCAAGGCAGCGTTATTATTTGTTCAAATCCAAGATGGACCCTGAATCCTTAGAAATGTGATCCTTAGTAGTTCCTCTATATGACACGCAAACTTTGGATTTTATTTGGTTTCAATTAGGAATAGAAATACTATGCACTTTCTACTTGGTTTTTATTTGGTTTCATTTATGAGTAGAAATACTCCGCATTTTGTACCACAAGATTGTGTCATCATCAACTATTTCTTCACGAATTTATTCTGATAGATTTCTTCAATGTGGTCCTGATTGTTTTTGCAGTATTTAACCCTCTGGTCCGGTACTCCACTAGAAACATAACTCGTCCGGCGTAGTCTGTGAGGCGACTACGTTTTAAGCGCAAAAATAAAACAAAATAATTTATTTATTTAATAACTGTCTATAACTTGAACACAAATGAGCTACATTCTGTAAAATAATTGGGCATTGATCTAAGAAAATATAAGTGAATGAAGAAAAGGTACACACTTTTACAAATAAATACTTATTTTTTCCTAAATATATAAATCAGATTTTTTTTTCAAAGAATTGGTTTATAAGGCATTATATAACCATAAAACTTATAAAGATATGCAAAGTTGAAGGTGGTTTGTGTTCCATCAAGGCCGTAAGTTCACAATTTTAAGGTACAGTTTTTTCAGATTGGATCTGTGTAGGTCAAGTAGACTGCGTTTTTGCAATAAATACATAGGTATTTGGTCATCCTGCATTCATTGCTATGACATATATGGCAAATCCTACGTTTTTGAACGCTTCATCATTGGTTTGTTCTTCCGGAAGTATTCTTCTAATCAAGTTTCGAATTTCACGTGGTATATTCATCTTTGTCATGCGCCGTTTCAGATGATCCTACACCATTTGCATAGCTAGCAGTTTTCCAAAATCTCTTTTTTCTGTTATTATACGATTGTTTTTGTAACACTGATGAATATAAGAATTTACCGCGGAAATACCCAAGACCCGAAAAAAGATTGTCAATGGCCATCTTTGACTGCGACGACTGAATCTACTCTTAGAACATTTTTAGTCAATGGAATCAGCCCATCCTTCATTTGATATTACAATTATGGCTTTTCCAACGTGGGAAACAATTGTGCATTCCTCCCTAAATCCATAGATCCTGCAGCTCTTTTGCGATTGGGTGAGAAAGTCTGTGGTATTTCTGTCTATTTGTTTTAGAGTGCCTACATATGTTAATTTTCGCTTTAGAAGGACGTCCACTAACTGTATTGGGGAATACCAGTTATCAGCTGTAATGTTGCGATTGCTGTTGCTAGGCGTAATATTGCTTGAGTAGGTTTTAAAAGCTTTTATCTTCGTCTCTGAGACCAAAACCATCAGAACCTTTTCCGCAGTAGATATAAGCATTATAAAAATAGCTATTTAAGCTGGTAAGCACTGCATTTTAAGGCCATATTTTGCTGGCGTGTTTGGCATGTACATCTTGAAGCGACATCCCAAACGGAAACTCACCAGCATTTCGTATTCAGTAGCAGATTGCTCTAATCCATAAACACTTTGACAATTCTCTATAAAGCTGTTGAACATAAAGGATATAGCTGCAGCAGGGTCTTTCTTTTTGCGCTCCTCTCTATCGTCCCGATTATCAAATCTTGTAGCAGCCAAAAGTACAGCAAATCTTTTCTTACTGAGAATATGTTAGTACCTGTTCCATCTGTTGCAAATACATAGTCTATATGTTCATGAATTGAATTAAATACAGCGGTGTACGCAAGTAGTCAAAAAAAAGCTTTTAGCTCGATTAGGTGGTGTTTCGAAACAGCAGAATAGTTTTCCCTAATTGAATTTAGTTCTTTGTAAGTGCACTGCGTAATATGTTCCAACATATTATCACTGAAAAATAAGCTCCAAATAGCCAGGGATCTGCAGTCTCACCAAGCACCCTAACGTTTGATTTCAGTACGGACAACTTCATCATAATATTATGTTTTCGGACTTAAGATGATGGACGAACTTCTGAAGTACACCACCTATAACGATTTTTGCCATATTATATTTATTTTCACTTTCGGTCGAGTCTAATGCATCACTGTCATTGCCCTCCTCACATTTAGATAATTCCGAATTAGTATCATGCTCTGACTCAATATTATAGACTTCCGACACGTCATCTATATCACTACCACTATCAATTAATTCGTTATTCTACATAGCGCGAGTTTCTTCATACTCACGATCGTCCCGTTTAGATGGCCCAGCCATAACTCAGCATATTTGCAACACGTACTAAAGTAACGCAAACGGTCCGGCGTAGTTTGTCAGACTACCGCACAAATATAATCGCTCCTAACTTATTACAGAAGTCAATGGCATTCGCATTCCTAGTGAAATGATTGCCGCCCTATTTGGGCTCTTCTGCCTTATAAAATGCGGAGAACCACTCCGCATGTTTTTGTTTTTCTTCTCACATAGCTTTTCATGCGACTTGGCACTATTCACTACCTTCTTCCAGTCTTTCCTATTCTTGCAGAGTTATCTCCAACTTTTAATTCCAAGCGTTTCTATGTCTGCATTCTTGGTCTTTCCATCTTACTTTTTGTTTTCATCTTGTTCTAGCTGTCGTGGGCTGCCATTTAGTAATATTTTTGATCAGTGCATCATTGTCTCGTCTTTCAATATGTCCTGCCCACCTTAATCTTTGGGACTTGATAAATCTTACAATATCTTCTCTATTCAGCACTTTCAGAATTTCCTCATTTCTAAGCACCTTAGCCCTTCGTCTTCTCTTATTGATCCCATAATTCTTCGGAAAAGTTTGCGTTCGAGAACTCGGAATCTTGCCTGATCTTTCATTGTAAGGCACATGGTTTCTACCCCATACCCGATTACCGGTCTGATTGCAACTTTGTACATCTTTAGTTTAGTTTGCTTTCTTATGTTCTTATCCTGTAGTAATCTGTGGTACTTCCAGTATGCCCTGTTACCCATCAGTATCCGTTCTACGATTTTCGCTGTCCTTTCATTTTTGTCGGTCTCTAACACCCCTAAGTATTTGAACTGAGATACTCTTTTAAATCGGTACTCCCCTATTTCAGTTTAATTGATGCTGCTCTTGGCTTGTCTGGTTACCATTAATACTACCATCTTCTCTTGAATTATTTGTAATACTCTTCTTTTTCCTTCATCAGATAATTTTAATAGTGCTTCCTCTAGACTTCTTTTGCTCCTAGCAATAGAAGCTATGTCATCTGCATAGGCAACTAGTTGAGTCATGGTTTGAGCTATCGTTCTTCTAATTCCTGAGGTCCTTACAGTTTTCTTTACGACTATGTTGAAGGGTGTTGTTGACAGCGAATCCCCTGGTCTTGCTCCCTTCTCTACACGTACTTCCTCGGTCAACCCTTCCTTTGCTAGAATTCTTTATCTCGATCCTTCCATTGTCATTTTCATCAGTATTATAAGCTTTTCTAGGATATTCAAGAGTCTCATTTCTTCTACTAATTTTCTCCGGGCTATGCTGTCAAAGGCCTGCTTGACGTCGATGAAAACAATATGGATTTCGGTGTCATATTCATAGCATTTTTTAATGATCTGCGTGACTGTGTGTAAAGCATCGATTGTTTACCTTTTGTCCTATTAGTGCATAAATCTTTCCTGCAATTATCTTCCTCTCCCTTTTGTATTGCTTAGCTACAATGTCGTCTGGTCTCGGGGTTTTCCTGTTCTTCATATAAATCACTACCCCTTAGATACTCCTCGAATGTCGGTGGTTCAATCTGGGCATTTCTTTGGCTTATTACTCTACATGTTCGATTTCGTGTTCTGTACTAGTAGTCCGGGAGGTGGTGTCAAAAATCGGTTGATTATTTGGATAGTTATGAAATTTAGTTGATGGCTAGTTTAAAATGAGTACTGTTCACAGCCCCGGTCAGCTGCGCGAAAGTGGAGACCTTAGATTGTGGGTGGACGATGAACATGTAAACAAAATAGCACATGTCCGTATCAAGCGGACAGAGCTATAACTTTCCCTTTGAATTGTGTGAATATAGCTTGTTATAAAAATATTGAGTCAGCTGCATGGTGGAGGGGGGAGCGGCGTTCAGCTACATGTAAACATGTATATATTACGAATATGACTGAGTTATTCGGATAGTGCTGAAAATTTGTGTAAACATTATTTGGAATATAAGATTAACATAACAGATAGTCAGCTGGCATGAAATGGGTGGGGACACCAGTCAGCTGGGCTTCCAAGCGCTCAGACCACGTGCGCTGATAGATTTTTCCACCCACTCATTGCCAGCTGACCATTGATTTTCTCTTCATCCATACCTATTAAATCCTGGGACCAATTTTCAGCACTATCCAATAAAAATTTAATACATAAATATGACTAATTTAGAGGAAGTCTCTTCTTTTT